AAGGTGCATGAAGTCGATTTTGGAAAGGCCCTCCAGCATGCTGCCGGCTGGCGATTGCAGGACTGCTGCACGTGCCGCTGTGGCCTTGTCTGCCGCCACATCCAGAGCGTGCACGAGTACCTGTTTGTTGGCAGGCGCAGCATGGACGTCTACCCCTTTTTGGACGAGCTCGCGCTTCTTCGTCGGGAGGCGGAGCTCGATCTTGAGGAGGCACCAAACCGCAAGGACGCTCATGAGCGCCTCGTTAAAGTGTCCCGCGCGATGGATGCCGCGCAGGCGTTTTCGCTTGCATTTGCAGCCGCAACAAGCGATCAGCGCAAGCCGAATTTTATGCTTGCACTGGCAGAGACGCCAAACGAAACAGCGAGCCCGGCACACGCTTCGCCCCACAAGTCCGCCAAAGCCTCTGGAGGGCTCTTTGGATGTGTGCGGAAGTTGTTTACGTCGTATTCTGTGCCCAGCGCAAAGGACACCCGCCCCACAAAGGCCAGATGCTGCTTCTGCTGTAATAGAGTTCCAGGTGGGAGTAAAACGTGCAGCTTGTGAAGCGCTACTGCGTGCGCATTCTTTATTCCTATTTTTTTTTGCCCCACAAAATATGGGTGATGCGCTGCTGCGCTTGCACGGGGTGACACCTTTGGTAAATAAGCCTCATTCCCCACGATCGTCCATCGTATTATTTCTGTAATGCTCCATTCTCCTTGCTCTTCGTTGATCGGGCATTCGGGCATAGCGGAGCATACGGCGTCGCCGCGCGTAGGTGAAGTCTGGCACCCGGACCGGTCTCCACTGCGTGCTTGGCCTGCCTTCTCAGCGAAGGCCCTTGCGGCCACTTCTCTCTTTCTCACTCTCGTCAGCCACTCTTCCTTGGTTTCTTCGTATCAGTCTGCTGTCCGTTGTGGTCTCCTCTGAGACTTGGGAGAGGAAAGGAGAGAGGCCTCGTGATGGGGTTAACTCCGAGAAGGGGCATCAATGTTTCCCAGTTACGGGCGTTTTTGGTCGCGCTGCGCCCTGCCTTTTCACGCGGTGTGACTGTTCCGCGCAGC